TTAGTAATGAAGCCAAATAACCCGATTTAAAGGCCTCAAGTAGTTTCCCCAAAGATACCACAATGGCCGACAAGCACATGGAAAGTCACCCCACATCACCGGCCGTCAGGGAAGTGCAAATTGAAACCACAGTAAGATAGCACTTCACGGGGCGCCTGGGTGGCTCAGTCAGTTAAGCGTCCACCTTCAGCTCAGGTCATGATCTCAGGGTTTGTGGGTTTGAGCCCCGCGTCGGGCTCTGTGTTGACAGCTCAGAGCCTGGAGCCTGCTTCAGATTCTGTGTCTCCCTCTCTCTGCCCCTCCCCTGCTCACGCTCTGTTCTCTCTGTCTCTCAAAGGAATAAATGTTTTAAAAATTTTTTTTAAAAGAAAGAAAGGCACATGGGGCACCTGGGGAGCTCAGTGAGTGTCTGACTTCAGCTCAGGTCATGATCTCACAGTGAAGAGCCTAAGTTACATCATTTTGAGATTAAGGCCTCCATTAAGAGCAACCTCAGGCTGCGCGGAGCCGCGGTTCTTCAGATTGCTCAAGGCTAAAGCCATCCTCGGACTGCCCTCAGGTCAGCTAATCAAAAAAACATTCCTGTGGTCTGAGTCAAGGCTGGGAACTGCAAACAGTTATTCTGTACAAACTAGCCAATTTCTCACCACTTGCCTGAACCCCACGTGGGCCCTTTGAACTCACCTCATAATTGGCCATTTTCAAAGGATCCTCAAAAGTCATGATTGGGTCCCACCAAAAGTAATGGACACCTCACAGATACTGAATGGTCAAAGCTGTTACCATGGGTGCTGCTGTACAATTGTAATTGGTGCTTATGTGATGATGCTATGCATACAACGTGTGCACTGTAACACCCCCGTCCCTTACTCCATAAAAACCCTGTTCGCTATTGTTCGGGGCTTCACGTTCTGCCACGACACCGGTAGGCGGGTGAGCCCCTGCTCGAGCGTGTAATAAAGACCCTTTTGTACTTGCATCGGTGTCGACTCCTTGGGGGTCTCTGAGGACTCGCCAATCGGGCACAACAACAGCTCATGGCTCAAGCCCTGTGTCGGGCTCTGTGCTATCCGGCTCTGAATGTCCAAACCCAGGGCTCCGTGACCCAGCCTTTCCTCGCACAGAGCCAGGTCCACACTGCCAGTTCCCACGGGTTACTGGAGCTGCTAAGCCTGAGTGCCTCGCTGGACTCGCCTGCTCCGCCTTGCCCCCACACCTAGCTGGTTACCAAGCCCTCCTCCGCACCTCTTTGGCTGCTACTGAATCCTTTCCCTCGGCAACGATTAAATCAATCACCATGCCGTCCAGTCATGGAGCAATCACGGAGTGTAGGTGGATGTCAAGCAGTTACATGAAATCAACAGTACCGCTAACCCCAAGTATTATCAGCACCCTTATCTTCCAGATGAGCAAACTGGGGCTGGTCAGAGTGGAGTGGCCCAAGACCTACAGCTGTCATTGCAACCAGTCTCAAATCCCGTGACCCAGAGCCGCCACTAAGATCCCCAGGTCCCACGCTACCGGTGGTCACCAATAGCACAACCACAATGCCTGGGGTGAGATGCCAAAATTAGCGCTATGAGTTGGGTGGACTTGGCCTGTCACCTCACCTCTGTGTGTCAGGGTGACCCCACGGTAAGGCGATTCCGCTGTCTACTATCTAGGCTGCTGCAATTCATGGGGTCACCGGCGCGGCCCCCAGCAGGGAATCACTGCAAGAGCAACAGCGGTCCACATTCAAGTTTCCTCTCAGGGGCAGAAGAGAAGATCTGCTCTGGTCATTCTCCCTGTAGGTGACACCTGTGTGGTGACCTCGGGGGCAATGTCTGAACTCCTCAGACCGTCTGGCACGTTTAGTGGCCAGGTCCCCGGCGCTTGCAGTCTCGCCCCCAGCACCCCCACGTTGGGAATGGGTTGTGCCCTTGGGCCTTTGCACCTGCCGCCCCCCGTCCCCCCCGCCCCAGCTCAGGCCAGGCACTTGGTCGCGTGCCCTCCGCGCCCCTCGGCCCCGCGGAATCCGACCTTGGACCTCGCTCGCTCTAGGGGCAGCTGGGCCCCCGCGCCGTCCACCGCACACAGCGGGCGCCAAATAAACGTCCTCTGGGGCGCGCGCACGTCCGTGAGCGAGCGCGGCCAGCACGCAGGGTCGAACGCGCCAGCCGCGAGCGCGCACCGCCCCCGCTCTGACCCGCGGCCCCGCTGACGTCATCACACCGCGCCGCCCGCGCCCGGCGCGTCGCAGGGAAAACACGCAGGGGAAATGCGGCAAGCGGCGAGGGGCGTGGTCCCTGGACGCGCGTGCGCGCTCCCCCCGGGGCGCGTCCCCGTCCTGCGTTTCTCAGAATCGGGGTGTTTGTTTAAGGTGTAGCCTCCGGGAGCAGCTCCGGAGCGCCGGCCCCGGAACCCCAGGCGGAGCGTGGGCATTTTCCAGTGACCGAGCTGGAGCAGGTGCTCAAGACAGCTTGAGACCCAGGCCCCCCGAGGGTCTCCGGGGAGCTGCGCCCAGGCCGCGCGCGCTAGTCCCCAACCCCGCCGTCGGCCACCCACCCTGCCTCCGGGGTCAGCTGCGCGTGTAGACACCTGCACCCGAATCCTGGTCTCCGGCTGGTGGGGGTGGGGGGAGGGTCTCCAAGCTAAGACACGCAGGGCTCGTGAGGCCCGCAGAGCTGGAGCCTGATGGGGCGATCAGAGGCTAAAGGAGATGTAGATAAAATCAAACGTCCTCCTAACGAGAGTCCATTGACAAATGCTTAGGGCAGGCAGGGTATGACGTCCCCCCAGGAACTCCACGTGGTTTCAAAGTTAAGGCCTTTGCCAGCAGAGAAACCGCTTTAGCTCCAACAGGCCTCCAGGACCCTGTGAGTCACCTTCACAGGAAAGACTTTATAGAAACTCCCTTTGTCCCCGCTCCTCCCGACTTAAAAGTATATACTCAATTGCTGCTGATAGTCTCAGGACAGCAGCCCTTTCCGCCTGTGGGCCCTGTCCCCAAGCCTTAATACCCCCCCCTTTTATGCACAACAAACATCTCAGGAATTCTTTCTTGACCTTGACCGTTGGCTCCTAGATCCCGCATCACATCAAATCACATCGGAATCAAGTGGATTTGGCAATTCGCCGCATATAGAGAACAAGGAAGAAGTCGGAAGGTGAAGGATGGGCAGTGTGGTGGTGGGAAGAGAGGATGACAAGTTCAGGGTTGAGATGCGTGACATTTAAGATGGGGGGCAGGCGGCTTGTGTAGATGCTTAGCTGACGGAAAGTCCCTCTTTGCCCCCACTGCACGCTGAAGGACCTTCTCGTTTGCTCCGTGACACCGCGTCTGCACAGTGTTACTCCCATTCAAACCAGACTTAGAATTGGGACGGGGTCGGGGAGCTGAAGGTGATGTGGCCAATGTCGGGGTTCGGGGCTGACGGCCAAGCAAGAGGGCAGGAGAGAGCTGCCTGGGGTGTGACGGGACTGATTATATACTTCAAAGTTGGATGGGGTTAGGGACAGTGTAAGTCTCCAAGGATTTTGGGAGAAAGGCAGAGGAAGCCGAATCCAAGGGGGATGCATGTATGGGTCCTCCTGAGGGGAAGGGGTCATGTGTAGGCTTGAAGTTACGGCAGCAAAGGAGACCTGGCACCAGGTGGAGAGACCAGGGAGAAAAGAGCAAAACAGCATCTGAATAACAAAAGGAAAAAGATGTTCATCGGTGCCTGGGTGGCCAGTTGAACATCGGCCTCTTGATTTCCGCTCAGGTCATGATCCCAGGGTCATGGGACGGAGCCCCGTGTTGGGCTTCACACTGAGCATGGAGCCTGCTTGGAATTCTCTCTCTCCATCTTCCCCCCTCACCTGTGTGTTGTCTCTCCCTCTAAAATAAAATAAGAGGGGCACCTGGGTGGCTCAGTCGGTTGAGCCACCGACTTTGACTCAGGTCACGATCTTGGGGTTTGTGAGTTCGAGCCCCGTGTCGGGCTCTGTGCTGACAGCTCAGAGCCTGGAGCCTGCTTTGGATTCTGTGTCTCCCTCTCTCTCTGCCCCTCTCCTGCTCATGCTCTGTCTCTCTCTGTCAATAGTAAATAAATATCTAAAAAAATGTTTAAATAAAATAAAATAATAAGAAACCCAAATAAGAGTCCTTTGGTGGTTGATAAAAATCCTTTCCAGTCCAGGAGTTTACTCAATCATTAAAAGAAAGAGAGGGATCTTCTAAAGCGCCAATTTCAGTGTTTACGTCAGTTAGAAATCCAGAAATACGTGTGTGGTCATCTGGAATGTACACACAGCATTCTGTGTTTATGACAGTACAAGTTCCGCCTTGTGTAGCAGTTCAGACGTGTAATGCTGGCCGGCCTTAAGCATTTCTGCTATTTCTGTACTTATTAGGGAAACGTTACTCTGTAGCATTTAGGACTTTGACCATGTAGGAGCTTCCGTGTGCCAAACAAGTCCCAGAGAGGGAACAAGGGCAGACGCTAGGTGGTCACGCCATAGAAACAGCGTGTCCACGGTTGCTTTACATTTGGAAGGTTAGCTGGGTTGGTAAAGATTTTAATAACGGGTCCATGAACCCAGACAAAACTCAGAATACAGCAGCCTGTGTGGCCTGGGGGAAGCCATGGCCACAGGTTACAGCCGCACAGCCACTGGGCCCTGTTGGGAGCAGCCATCTGATTCTGGGCCTCCTTGAGCTGCAGTGAGGATATCAAGGGTCATTCAGTTCTGGAGGCCAGCTTTCCAGGGGACTGTGGATGATGCCCGGCTGAACATAAAATAGCAATTAATTTTTAAGGTTTGAGCTATTTGCTGAGTTATTTATTTGTGCAATAAAAGTCCGTTAGGGAGCACCTGGGTTTCTCAGGTAAGCATCCGACTTCAGCTCAGGCCATGATCTCGTGGTTCATGGGTTCGAGCCCCACGTCGGGCTCTGTGCTCACAGCTCGGAGCCTGGAGCCTGTCTTCGGATTCTGTGTCTCCCTCTCTCTCTCTGCCACTTTCCCGCTCACACTTTGTCTCTATCTCTCAAAAGTGAATAAACATTAAAAAAAATTTAAAAAGACGGTCCAAGGGACCAAAGGAGTCCAAATCTAGGGACAATTTCTCTTAGCAAGGGTTTTGTCACTGCAGCCGTCTTTTCTGTTCTACAAGGAAAGGCCTCCATCCGTGTAGTAAAGGCATCTGCATAAGCAGTAGGTACTTAGATCCTTTACGATGTGGCCTGTGTGTAAAATCTAATTGCCAGCGGTCCCCAGGGTATGCCCACTGCCCGGGGACTGGCCTTCAAGGTGGGAGAGGCAAGTTGCACCCTCTGAGTAGCAGGTGATTGACAGACCTGCTTTACGTGAGCGGTTAGTTGCATCAAAAGTGTTTCTACCCATCCGTTTGAGAGCCTTTTCGCCCAAATGCGTAGCCTGGTGTAAGCCCTGTATTACCTTCCATTGGTTATTTTTTGGAGTATAAACTTTTCCCCCCTGATTAATAACAAGCCAGTCCTGTGCATTTTTTGAATATCCTCACCCCTGGGCTACGTGAATGTCCTTGTCTGGATAGCCTGGAGTGATGGACATCATTGGACTTACGACTGGCATAAGACTTAATATCGATTCTGTGCTGTCTGCCTGGCCACCCAACCGGCCAAGTTATTTCCTTCAGATTCCAAGGTTCTACCCTTTTGGTGTCCTTTGAGGTGAATTACAGGTACCCAAGAAGGTACAACCTCAAGAAGAATAATCACTTTAGGCCCATATTTGGGGAGTTAGGGCTTGATCATAGTCCCTTTTCTTCTGCAGGGCTCCGTGGGCATGAAGGACCATGAAGGTGTATTTGAAGTCAGTATAGATACTAATTGTGAGGCCTTTGCCAACTGTAAAGCACGAATGAGTGTTATCAACTCTGCTTTTTGGGCAGACATCTGTGTTGGGAGGGCTTTGGCCTCAACAGTCAGAATCAGAACGACTATAGCCTCCCCAACTTTCCATACCCCCTTTTCCATGACACTGTCAACATGGAAGTCTTTTCATCAGCTGATCAGCTAGAATAAACAAGATTAAGCATCTCTGAGCAGTCATGTTGTTGTTGTTGTTTTTTAATTTTTATTTATTTCTAGGAGAGAGAGAGAGAAAGACAGCGTGAGCAGGGGAGGGTCAGAGAGAGAGGGAGACACAGACTCTGAAATAGGCTCCAGGCTCTGAGCTGGCAGTCAGCACAGAGCCCGATGCGGGGCTTGAACCCATGAACCGCGAGATCATGACCTAAGCGAAAGTCGGACACTCAACCGACTAAGCCACCCAGGCGCCCCTCTTTTTTGTTTTTTAATGTTTTATTTCTGAGAGAGAGAGACAGAGTGAGCAGGGGAGGGTCAGAGAGAGGGGAGATACAGAATCTGAAGCAGGCTCCAAGCTCTGAGCTAGCTGTCAGCACAGAGCCCGATGTGGGGCTCAAACCCACGAACCGTGAGATCATGACCTGAGCCAAAGTCGGAAGCTTTAACAGACTCAGCCACCCAGGTGCCCCTGAGCAGTCATGTTCTGACACAGAAGGATGACCATCAGGCCCAGGCATAAGGGCGGCTGAGATTAAAGTTTGACAGATTTGGGGTGCCTGGATGGCTCAGTCATTTGGATATCTGACTTCAGCTCAGGTCATGATCTTACGGTTCATGAGTTTGAGCCCCGTGTTGGGCTCTGTGCTGACAGCTCAGAGCCTGGAGTCTGCTCTGGGTTCTGTGTGTCCCTCTCTCTCAGACTCTCTCCCATTCATGTTCTCTCTCTCTCTCTCTCTCAAAAACAAATACTAAAAAATTAAGTTTGACAGGTTTTAAGTATTATTTCAGGCGTATTTATAACCACCGCCTGGTATTTAATGTCAGCCTCTGGTCATCCATTGGTGGCCTTTGATCTCTAAGACACCCGGGACCTGGGGTGCGGTCAGAGAGTCCATCTTAGCTCCCTAGGGCTGTTTGCTCCTGTCTGAGACTCCGCAGGCCCCTCTCAAACAGGACACTGCAGTCAAAGCCTTGTGTTTCCAGTGGTGCCCTGTGACAAAGAGAACGGTCTTCTTGAACTGTGTAAATAACTACAATTGCCATGGAAGAAAGAACACTCACCGAGACTTTTGGATTTCAGGGGGTTCGGGTGGAGAGAAAAGTCCAAT